ATTTATTTTTCAAGTTTAACTGAACTTAACGTAGCATGGTGTTCATTTAATAAGCAACAAGTTGATGTCATTTGTAAAATGCTTCCATCAACCATGACTCGTTTAAATATTTCTGGATGTGAAGAAAATATGAGTGATCTTAGTAAGTGTACTTTATTTTAACATATTCATTTCTCACGATACTTGCAAAAAATTATTTAAAATATTTCACATGAATAACTTGAGATTCTTATTGATGATGAAAAAGCAAAAATGTGTCATACGAAACTTGGTCACGGAAGTGGCATTTCATTTCACGTTGATAGGTGTTGTTTTTCATTTTTTTTTTTTTTTTTGAGGACTAAAGCATGAGAAACATATTTTTATTACAGATCTTTCAGACTTGATATTATCTTGCCCAAATATAAAGGAATTAGATTTAAGTGATAATACATCGCTCACTGAAGATATATTTTCAGAATTAACAAATTTGCATAATTTGGAACATTTGTCATTGAGTCGTTGTTTTAATATAAAATCATTATCAAAATTGGATTTAAATTTGGTGCCATATTTCGAATATTTGGATATATTTGATTTAGAATTAACATCTGTGCCAGATAAATTAAAAATTAATCAATTTTTATTTACATCCATTGCAAGGCCCACGTTGAAAGATCACAAAACTATTTGGGGTCTTTACGTTAAAAGTTAATCAAATAAATTTGAATCATTTAAACAAGATTTATACAGTATAACAAAAAAATGTGTGTTTTTTTTTTTTCAAATAAATATAATCAATGTAAATGTATATGTCTCTCTTTCTTTCTGTATATATATATATGTGTGTGTGTATGTAATATATCATTATTAATTATATCAAATTAATGTCATATTGATAAATCTATAAAATACCTAACTTAATATTGTATCATTCAAATTACAACCATTATTGGTTGTTTCCTATTGTATCTGTAAAAATATGAAACTTATTAAAAAACATTATAATGTAATTAGTTTCTATAAAGGAACTGGATAAGATAAATCAAGGAATAGAATAAAAAAATAATATGTTATTAATTAAGAAGTTAAATAGAAACCAATTACAATTATAATGTTTATGGTTTAAGCGGTCTTTGGCTGGATTTCACTTACAATGGAATGTATAGCATATTAAAATATGTTAAATATTACATTGAAAGTAAAATACCATTGCCCGGGTCTAACCACGTGGAGGTAACCGCTTCTGAAGACCCAAGAGGGATGTGCATCCTAAAGATGCTCACATCCGAATATAATTCAAAGGAATGAATCTAACTCTTAGGCCCCACCATAAGAGTACCATTCAAAAAATCGTTAAAATTATTATCGAAAATACCAGAGAAAAATTTCAATATTAAAA